ATATACAAATCACATTTTCTTTATCCATTCCATATCTTCACTATTTTGGGCTATTGTAAATAACGCTGCAATGTGCACTATTCACAATAGCTAAGATGTGGATCAATCTAAATGTCCAACAATGGATGAGTGGATAAATAACATGTGGTATATCTTCACAAGGGAATAGTTTTTAGCCATAAAAAATTAAATCTTGTAATTTGAGAAAACATGGATGAAACTGAAGGACAATATTATGTTAAGTGAAATAAACCAGATACAGAAAGCCAGATCATATACATGATCTTACTCATGTGGAATCTAAAAACATTAATCTCACTGAGGTAGAACGTAGAACAGCTGGCTTCACCCTCGGGAAACAGGCAGAGAGAGAACATGGAATCGAGAGCAGTTGGTAACTGGTACCCCGCTCTCACATGACAGTAGGACCCGGACTTCACTCCACGGTTTATCTCCTCACGTACACCCGGCGCAAGTGATCCAGTTACACAATAATAACTGTGTATCTAGCTCAAAAATAAACACTAGAAGCAGAGCGTCTCTGAATGTTCTACCACTCAAGAAATCTGATAGAATCCTATGAGCAGAAACGCAACATACCCATGATTAATCTTGCACTAATGTAGTGCGGCTGTATAAAACATCGTTACACTGTACCCCTATATATGTTCAATGGTTATTTTCAGTTTAAAAAATAAAAATACTATAATGAACACGAGAGTGCAAATATATTTTCAAAGTGGGGATTTCATGTCCTTTAGGGATATGTCCAAAGGACATATGGAGATTGATAAATGAGGCCAGGTGGCTGGCCTCACGCCATAGTAACATAGCTTCTCTGGGACGCCGAGGCTGGCGGATAGCTGCTTGCAACCAGGAGTTTGAGGTTGCTGTGCAGCTCAGGCTGATGCATAGCAGCACTCACTCTGCGCTGCGCAACCAAAGTGGAGACTCTGTTCAAAAAATAAAACAAAAAAAAAAAGAATTGATATAAGGACGTCTTCTATTTTTAAGATTTCTTTAGGAACTTACTGTTTCCATAGATGGCTGTGCCAATCCTACATACCCACTTGACAGGCAACGTGAGCGCGTCCTTTTCCTCCACACTCTTGCAAACATTTGTTTCTTGGCTTTTTCATACATGGCCATCATAGAGATGTGGAGGCGATATACCGATGCAGAGGTTTTAATTGCATTTCCCTAATAATCTAGGTGACTTTTGAACCTTTTCCCTATTTGTTAGCCATTTACTTATGTTGTCTTCTGGAGAAATCTCATTCACAATTCACATCCATCTTTAAATCAGATTATTGTTTTTCTGCTTATTGAATTGTAAACAGTTCTTATAATTCTCGAACTATTAGGCCCTTTTTTCATATATGTCTGTCTTGCAAATATTTTTTTCCAGACCCTAAGTTCGCCTTCTTCACATTGGCGTTGATTGTGTTTCTTTACCGCACAGAAGCCTTTTTAGTTTGATGTAGTCCTTAATTGTTTTTGCTTTTGTGTTTCCTGACGCTTCTGGTATGCATCCACAAATCAAATTTTTTTTGCTAAGGTTGGACTGTCAAGCAGCTTCTTCCTATGTTCTCTTCTAGAATCTTATAGTTTCAGGTCTGTTGATGTTTTAGGTTTTTTTAGTCTATTTTGGTTGATTTCTTGCTGCCATGGTGTCAGACCCTAAGTTTTTATCCAATTCTTTTGCATATTGGACAGTCGGGTTTCCCTAGGCACCACCTTTATTGGGCAGAAACTTCTTTCCACATCCTGTCCTCTTTGGTGTCCTTATCAAAAATTACGTTGGAGTGATGTTTGGATTTATTTCTTGGCTTGCCCTCGCCATTCTGTTCTGTTAGTCTATGTTTCTGTTTTATACAGTACGCATATTTTTCTTGACTTACTATCCACTCTTGTAATCAGTTTTTTATTTTTTTCAATATTTTTTGAAACACAGTCTCACTCTGTTGCCCAACCTAGAGTCTCCATGGGTGTCATGCTAGCTCACAGCAACTCTCAAATCCTGGGCTCCAAGCAATCCCCTTGCCTCAGCCTTCTGAGTAGCTGGGACTATAGCATTGCAACCATCGCCTGGCTAACTTTTTTCTAAATATTTTCTAGTTGGCCATTAATTTCTTTCTATTTTTATAGAGATGGAGGTTCCTTTGCTCAGGCCTGGTCTTGAACTCCTGACCTCAAGCAATCTGCCGCTCGCTTCAAGTTGCTAGGATTATAGGCGTAAGCCACTACGCTTGGCCTGTAATATAGTTTTAAATCAGGAAGTGGTGAGTGTCAGACTTTGGTTTTTCTTTGTAACATATTGCTTTCCTCTGTTTGGCGCGCTGTGTGCTGTGTGTGTGTTTAATTCCATATAAATTTTAGAATTTTTTATTCCTGTGGAGAATATCTTTGGAATTTTGTTAGGAATTGTGTTACATCTGTATATCTTTTGGGTAGTATGAACATTTTCATGATATTAATTTTTCCAATTCATGAACATAAGGTATTTTTATATTTATTTGTGTCTTCTTCAATTTCTTTCCTCTAAGTTTTATAGTTTTAAGGTTACAAATCTTTCACCTCCTTGGTTAAATTTATTCCTAAGTATTTTATGTTCTTTGATGCTATCACATCATGGAATTATTTTCTTAACTATTTTCTTTGAGGTTATTATTTGTGTGTAGAAATGCTAATGATTTTGTGTGTTGATTTTGTACAGTGCAACTTCACTGGGTTCCATCTATTAATTTTAACAGGTTTTTTTCTCTGGAAACAGGGGTTTTCAAACTTCATTCCTTTATGGTTTCTTCCTATTTTCTCTCCCTATTATGCTCTCTTCCACTTTTTCTTTTCTCTCTTCTATCACTCTTTTCTTTCTCATTTTTCCTGTCTCATTCTTGTCATAAAATCAGATCTCTGTGTCTGATAGCAATATTAATGCTTTTTCTGAGTAAACAGGAGAATGTCAAATATTGTTCATGCTAGAGTATAGTTTTTTTACTGGAAAAATAAACTATATCACAAATTGTGTAGTCATAAGTGCAGATCAGAGAATATATCTCATACTCTGACATTCAGGCATACGGTGGAATTGTCCCTTTTGAAGTTACTTGTGAACAAGTAACTCACATTGGTCTATAAAATCTGAGTAGAATTGGCATGTGTCACTTTTAACAAAAGCCTGAAAACAGTGTGTGATTCACTCATCCTCTTCTCCCTGACTGCAGTGGTCCTAGAAGCATGTTTCAACATGGAGCAGCTGTCAGTCTTGGAGCCTGAGTGCCTGCAGTGAGCAAAAAACTCCCTTGTTAACCTGAAATAGACATGTAGTAAAAAGTGAGAAATAAAACTTTTTTTGTTAAGCCTCTGAAATTTTTGAGTTTTCTGCTACACAACCATCTATTTTTGAAACATTTCTGAAGTTAAGTATGCATTGGCAGTGAGAAATTCTGGAGGTGTTCAGAAAGGAATGATTCCAAATAAGATGTTAGATGTGACCAACAACCAAAACCAAAAGATTCAGAAATACCAAATGTTTATTTGGAAACATTCTGTTTTTCTGCTTGAATTAACTTCTATATAAATAATATAATAGTTCTATTATTTCTTGTGAAACTGATATTTTTTTTTAAATTTTAAGGATGTTGATTTTCTTTCTAAACTAAATATCAAAATAAAACAAAATCATTAAATTGCAAATGGACAGGCATAAAATCTTACAATTAGTAAGTTATACTAAATGTTTTCAGTTTGAAATTTTTTTTTTTTTTTTTTGAGACAGAGTCTCACTTTGTTGTCCAGGCTAGAGTGAGTGCCGTGGCGTCAGCCTAGCTCACAGCAACCCTCAAACTCCTGGCTCAAGCAATCCTTCTGCCTCAGCCCTCCCGAGTAGCTGGGACTACAGGCATGCCCCCATGCCCGGCTAATTTTTTTTTTTATATATATATATATATCAGTTGCCAATTAATTTCTTTCTATTTATAGTAGAGACGGGTCTCCGCTCTTATTCAGGCTGGTTTTGAACTCCTGACCTTGAGCAATCCGCCCGCCTCGGCCTCCCCAGAGAGCTAGGATTACAGCGGTGAGCCACCGCGCCCGGCTCAGTTTGAATTTGATGAATATAAACCTCAATACCAATATAAAAATACTTTGGGAGAAGATAAAATTTTCAGAAACCTGAATAGAGGCACTTTTTTCAAAGGAAACATGTAAAGAAAGATATTTTAAATTTTAGTGAAATAATTTTAAATCATGTTCTAGTTATGTTAAAATAGCTTTGAAGTTTTAGGGTTTTGTGAATATACTGGAAAGTTTAATTGGCTTTCATTACTTATTAATGACATTTGCTTTAATTTTTACAAAATTTATTGGCCATTTGTATTGGTAAATTGTTTGTAAAAATCTACTAAGCATTTCCAATAAAAACCATTAGGAACAAATGATATCGCTGAAGAAAATTTAATATCATAATGTATTTTTAACTAATAGACTTTATTTGTTTTTATTTAGTTTTTTTATTTCAGAATATTATTGGGGTACACATGCTTTGGTTACATAAATTGCATTAGTAGACTTTATTTTTGAGAACAATATTACATTTATAGAAAAACTTAACATCCAAGTACAAAGAATACCCATACACCACCTCAACCCCCACCACACATACAGTTTCCCTATTATTAACATTTTGCCTTAATGGGTAATTTGTTACAATCGATGTGCCAATATTAATGTATTATTATTATTATTAACTAAAGTTCATAGTTTACATTAGAGTTCACTCTGTGTTGCACAGTCTATGAATTTTGATATATGCATAACATCATGTAGCCACTATTATGGTATTATATAGAATAGTTTCACTACCATAAAAATCCCTTATGTTCTACTCATTCATCCCTCCCTCACAAACATTTCACAACCACTGAATTTTTATTATTTCAGTCTTAGTCTTTACTAACCTGAAATAAGAAAATATCACTAAGTAGGTGGCTTACAAACAACAAAAATTTATTTCTCAGAGTTCTGGATCAAGAAGCTGGCAGATTCAGAGTCTGGCGAGAGCCTACTTCATAGTTCATAGACACCTATCTTCTCACTGTGTTCCTGTATGGTAGAAAAGACAAATGAGCTTTTTAATGCCCCTCTTTTTAGTAGGGGCATTAATCCCATTCATGATGACTCTGTCCTCATGACCTAATCACTCCCCAAAGGCCCCATCTCCAAATATTATCACATTGGGGGTTAGATGTCAACATATGAATTTGAATGGGACACAAACATTCAGTTCATAGTAGTCTACATAATTTTACTTTTTGCAGAATGTCATATAGTTGGAATCATACAGTAGGCAGCCTTTTGAGATTGGCTTCTTTGACTTACTAATATTCATGTGAGATTCTTCCATGTATTTTCATGGCCTGATAGCTCATTTCCTTTTATTGTTGAAAAATATCACATTGTATGGATATACCACAACTTATTTATCATTTGCCAAATAAAGTACATTTTGGATGCTTATGTGTTTTATCAATTTGATTAAATACCAAGGAACAACATTGCTGGATATTATGGTAACAGTATAGTTTTAGTTACTAAGTAACTGTCAAATTGTCTTCCAAATTGTACCATTTTTATTGCCAATAAATGAGAGTTCCTGTTGCTCCAAATTCTCAAAAGCATTTGATATTATCAATGTTCTAGATTTTAGTCATTGCAGTAGGTATGTAGTGGTATCTGTTTTAATTTGTACTTCTCTAACAACATATAATATAGAGCATCTTTCCTTCTGTTTACCATCTGTATATCTTCATTGGTAACATGTCCAGATATTTTTGTAATTTTTATTTGGAGGTTTATTTTCTTATTTATTTATTTATTTATTTATTTTTTGAGACAGAGTCTCACTTTGTTGCTCAAGCTAGAATGAGTGCCCTGGTGTCAGCCTAGCTCACAGCAACCTCAAACTCCTGGGCTCAAGAATCCTTCTGCCTCAGCCTCCCGAGTAGCTGGGACTACAGGCATGCGCCACCATGCCCGGCTAATTTTTTCTATACATATTAGTTGGCCAATTAATTTCTTTCTATTTATAGTAGAGATGGGGTCTCGCTTTTGCTCAGGCTGGTCTCGAACTCCTGACCTTGAGCAATCCGCCCGCCTCGGCCTCCAAGAGTGCTAGGATTACAGGCGTGAGCAATGGAGATTTGTTTTCTTATAGTTGAGTTTTAGGAATCTTCATATATATGTATATATATATATTATATTGGATACCAGTCCTTTGACAGATATGTACTTTAAAAAGATTTCTCCCACTCTATAGCTTCTCATTCCCCTACTAGTATCTTTCAAGGAGCAGAAGGTTTTCATTTTAATGGAGTTTAACTTAATTTATCTTTTCTTTCTTGAATCATGTTTTGGTATTGTATCAAAAAATCCATTGCAAAATCCAGTAACACCAGATTATCTTCTATGAAGCTTACAGTTTTTCATTTAGGTCTATGACAGATTTTGAATTATGTTTTTGTGAAGCGGTTAAGGTCTATGTCTGGATTAGCTTTGTTGTTTTGCAGTTCTTCCAGCATGATTTGTTTAAAAGACAAAGTTTTCTCCATTGAATTACCTTTGCTCCTTTGTTAAAGATCACTTGACTGTATTTGTGGCTCTCTATTATGTTCTATTGCCCTATTTTTCTATTCTTCTGCCAAAACCACAGGGTCATTGTTGTTGTAGCTTTATATCAGTTCTATAAGTCAGATAGTGTCAGTCCTTTATTTTGTTCTTCGTCTTCATATTGTGTTGGCTATTTTGAGTCGTTAACCTTTCTATACATACTTTGAAAACTATTTGTTGATGCACTCAAAATCAATTGCTTCATATCCATATTCCATATGGATATGACATATCATTCCATATAACTAGATCTATGATTTCTTTCATCAGATTTCCAGTTTTCCTCATATAGGTTTTATACATATTTTATTATATTTAAGCCTAAGCTTTCCAATCTTGGGAGAATGGGCAAAAAATAAGAATGGAGTTGAGTATCAAAGGTACCAATGTTTCCTTCTGTAATTTTTGAGTTTTCTAAAAACAAATTATGATATAAAATTAAAACATATAAAAATAGAGAATCTCTCTCTCTTTCTCTTCTTTTGCTTCTTTCTCTTTCATATTTAAAACAGCAGAAACTTAGGCAAAGCTCCCTGGCAAGTAGAATATGTTTTGAAGATGGAATCCTTTCTATGTTTATGAGTTTCCAATGAATTTAGTGGAGAAATAGAATGCTTATGCTTACTTTAATTTGGCCTCTTAGTACAGTCAAGATTATCAAGATAATTAGGTCATTCCCCTTGATTTTTCTAATTGTCCTTCTGATCTTGAGTAAACCACATTTTGTCCTCAAGTCCCCAAACAACAAATGCTGGCGTGGATGTGGAGAGAGAGGAATACTCCTACACTGCTGGTGGGACTGCAAACTAGTTCAACCTCTGTGGAAAGCAATATGGAGATACCTTAAAGCAATACAAGTAGATCTACCATTTGATCCAGGAATTCCACTACTGGGCATCTACCCAAAAGAACAAAAGTCACTTTATGAAAAAGATACCTGCACTTGAGTGTTTATAGCAGCACAATTCACAATTGCAAAGCTGTGGAAACAACCTAAGTGCCCATCAATTCATGAGTGGATTAATAAAATGTGGTATATGTATACCATGGAGTACTACTCAGCTTTAAGAAATAACGATGATAATGCACCTCTTGTATTTTCCTGGATAGAGCTGGAACCCATTCTACTGAGTGAAGTATCTCAAGAATGGAAAAACAAGCATCACATGTACTCACCAGCAAATTAGTATTAATGGATCAACACCAAAGTGGACATATAAGAATAACATTTATCGGGTGTCGGGAGGGTGGGAGGGGGGAGGAGTGGATGGGTATATACAGCCACAAGGAGTAAGATGTGCAATGTTTGGGGGATGGATGCGCTTGAAGCTCTTACTCGAGGGAGAAGGAAGGCATGGGCAATATATGTAACCTTAACACTTGTACCCCCATAATACACTAAAATAAAAAAATTCTTACTGTAATTTTCTTCTCTTGAAAGTGGAAGATTTTGATTAACCATGATAGTTACCTCACTGTGAATTTGGCTTATATCTTAAAATATTAGTCATAGTATTTTCCAACAGTAGAATTTATATGTTTTAATTTTGTTTTATTCATCTTAATTAAATTTTGCAGGCTATTTTCTACCTTTTTCTAAATTTCATATAGATATGTAATGTCTATCTAACTTCTGTTATTTTTCTTAATTTTATTTTTTATCATTTAAGTATACAGTTAGATAATATTATGTAATTATCATAATTCATTCCAGATCTTAGACATTGTTTTATATTATATGTCAAAATCATTAGTATTTTGATGTCAGATTCAAATAAATGGTAGGAATTTCAAATTACAGTGTTAGAGCCAATAAAATATTTTATAAAAGAAAGGGATTGTTACCTACATTATTTTCATCCTGATATTAGTTAGATTGCTTTACTTACTTTAGATTTAAGCAATTATATTAGTCAGAGTTCTCCAGAGAAACAGGACTAATTTGCTATGTGCATGTACAAGAATAGATTTATTATAAATATTGGCTCACATGATTATGGAGACAAGTAAATCCAAATCTGTAGTGTGGGTCAGCAGGTTTGAGATCCAGGAAAGCTAATGGGGTATATGAACTTGAAAGCTGTGTTGCCTCTTGTTGAGCTAGAGAATTCCATCTTTTTGTTCTATCCAGGGCTTCAGTTGATCAGAGGAGGCCTACTTAGATTATAGAGGACAATCTGCTCACTAAATGTGCATCAATTTAATGTTAATCTCATCCAAAACACCCTCCAAATTGACACATAAAATTTATCATCAAAGCAATGAACTTCAGGCAAAATTTTGCCTCATCATTTGAACATGTTTTAGTTCACAAAAGTTATAAAATATTCTATTGAATTATATTTGTATCAATACATTATTTCAACAAATGTACCAACACAAACAATCCCCATTCTAAGAAAGTATTGTAATCTCTTCCATGACATTACACTTTCATTTTATATTTACCTTTCTTTTTATTTTTATTTTTGAAGATTTATTAGTTCTGGTCAATAATTTTTTATTCAATTGTATCATTATTTCCCTTTGCCTATTTTTTGAGGATTAATTTATTATTATTAATTTTAAAATTTTCTTTCTAATATCTCTAATGAATTGTTTATTCATGGTCAGAATACCTTTCCCTAACTATTGAAGATATTTTAAATTATTATTATGGTCATGTGATTAGTTTTCTTAATAATGTATAAATCTTCCTGGGTGTGCTTTCTCCTTCATTATGTGGGTACTCTTATAAGAATGCAGTAACTCTTGACTGAGAAGTTGAGCTTGCTCACCGAGGTCTCAGTAGTTCCATATTCCATAGCCAGGAAGGCTTGTGCTCAACTCTGCATTCAGGTAAAATGATGATGGACAGGATTTTTCACATAGGGGATAGCTGTCTTCCCTTTCAATCTTAAATAAAACATTTATTGATGTGAAGTTTATGGTAAAACTGTGTATGCTATATTATTTCATATTCCTCTGTTTCCTCTTGTTTATATTTTTGCCCAAATTGTTTCTTTAAAAAATTAATATTTATCAAATACCTAATACATTTGAAGCCATACAAATATATTGTTAAAATATGAAATACTTGAGTAACAAATAATCAAAAATTTCTTCTGAGTAACAAATAATACTTGAGTAACAAATAATCAAAAATTCCTCTTGTTTTTATTTTTGCCCAAATTATTTATTTAAAAAATTAATATTTATCAAATACCTAATATTTGTGAAGCCATACAAATATATTGTTAAAATGTGAAGTACTTGAGTAACAAATAATCAAAAATTTCTTTCATGGACTTTATTCCATTCAACTGTGTTAAGTATTCTTCACTCTTCAAGATTTCAATCCGTGTCATCTCTAGAAATCCCTATTTGTACCAGTGTGCTGAAACTATCTGCTTAAAGATCTGTACTCCCATTTTATTATAGTTCTAACTCCATTCAAGTACCCTGGCTTAATTATACTTGAATTCCCACACATATATAGACCTGACTATGAAAATGCTCAAAAAATTCAATTGAAGATAACTGTAACAATTGAAATTAATTTCTTTGACTAATTAATATTTGTTATGTTAAAAAAATAATTCAACTACTTTTTTTCACTCAGACTCAGAGAATTTCACCTTACCAAATGTCCTCCAGGAATTTCATTAAATATCTCCATATGACCGAATTGACTTATGACTAGACAGATGTGTGCGTTGAGTGGAATTATATGCAATTACTCTTGTAGGATTGATATAAGTTAAGACCTAAAAAGGAAACACAAAGTTATTGTAGGAAAATAAGTTATAGGGATAGTTTCCCCTACTTCCTAGTTCCCTGTCAGAAACAGATAAAACTGTCATTATTACCAGGTCTATATGGAAACTATATAGTAGTCTGCTTACACATTCATTTCATAGAGAATATTTTAATTTAATTTACTTGCCATGACACATTTTTTAAATCAAACTATAAAAATAAATCCTTGTTGATCTAGCAATAACAAATTTTGTATCACATGAAATATTTCCTGGAAGTGATACAGATATCATAGTTTTCTGGAATGTATATAGAAATTATGATTACTTCTCTGTTGAATAAAATGAACTTTGTTCAGTCTTCAGGGTACTTCCATAGAGGAAACTTGAAATGGCCAAGTTTTCAGCATTTAAAAAATAAAAGGTTTTTTATCAGGTATTTTCAGTGCAAACATTGTTATAAATAAAATCAAAACATGTACACACCCACACACTCAAATATATACACATATATAAAAAGCACATTAAAACTTGAACCTATTAACTCTCTGATATTTACATTATATCTAACTTTCAGTTATATCCCAATGAAATCTACAAATGTATTACAGAAATTTTAACTCTCATTTGTGTCAAAGTTAAAAATAAATGGATAGCTGCCTCTTCCCGAGTTATTGAAAAGTTGAAAAAAATTAAGAAAGCGGTCTGTAACACTAAGTGAAATTACTTCATTCCTCTCCTACTAATAATAATCATAAGGAGCTGAATTACATAATAGCTAATGTAAAAAATGATTTTTTGGCCTCAGTATTATATGAGTCAAATTAATTTACTTTCTATAGTATATTTTGGAGATTATAGATTAAGTTTAAAATTACAAATCATTAAAGCACTATTCTAAGAAAATCACAGCCTTAATTTTTATCTATCTTGCTTAACATATTTCTTAACAAACAAACATAAGTTCCTGGTCTCACATGTAAGTCTTGTTTTATTTCTGTGATTTTACTTAACTCTGTAACTAATTAGAATTATATTTTTTAATGTTTTATAGAGGATATGTAATTAAATTAACCAAATTAGCTTTTTACTTACAATGCCATTTTTTTTCCTTTTGCACTGCAGCTATCTTCACTTTTTCCTATTTATTGTAAAGTGACATGGTACATTCAAGTCCTAGAATAATTTATATTACACAGACAGAGCAACTTGGCCTAAAATAATTCACATAAAACATACTAAGATCATCTATGTTCAGACCAAGACTTAAATGAAAATTTCAATATCACAAAAGTAATGGAACATAGATTATTAAAATTCTACAATATTGGTGGAGTCACCCCAAAATGAATGGAACAGAATATAAAACAACTTTGATTCTGCTAATGACTAAATGCTCCATTTTTCATTAATGAAAAGTATTCCAGATACTCCAAAATTACTTTTTAGGAAGTTGCTTTTCTAATAAATGTTGTACACCATATAATAGAGTCCATGTGAATCTATATTTAAATTACAGGAAACAACGTACTTAGATTTTGGTCAAAAGAATAATCTTTATTATTAAAATAGGCTTTTGAGTGCCACTTAAATCTTTGATGTCTTACCTTAAAATGAGCATGTTTCGTGGCTATTTTAAATAAGTGAGGATGTCAATTTCTGGTGTTGCATCACTTCCAGCCATTCACTATCAAACAGAAAGAAAACAGTCCACTCAACATTACATTTATCTTTCAATAGTTGATTTAAATTCTCCACATTTTAAGGGAAGAAGGATATAGTTTGGTTCATGAGTTTTACAATATATTGCTAAAATTACTGTGTTATTTTAATGAATGTAATTTACTTGAATAGCAATATATATTACATATAATTAGTGAATTGTAAGGACCTTATGAAAAGGTACGGTATGGGTTTGTAATACTTGCTTTTATTCTCCTGTAAGAGGATAGGGGTTTTTTTCTATTTATTTACAATTATAAGTGAACTGTCTACTATATTTATCTTTTATGTTAGTCTTTCTTATGAAGGGTCTCTTTTTCAGGACATTATATTTTCCTTCAAATCATTTGTGTAATGGTTTAAGTTAGTTTCAATGAGTTGTTATATATTTTTCTACTATTTTCCAGCATTTAATATTTGTATTTCCTGATTAATATTATCCAATTATGAATTTTCTCAAAATATAGAATTCAACTCTCTCAACTCTCACTTGGCATACAAGGAACCAGATCAGCTTAGTCACTGGGGGATTATACAGAGAATCATTATCCCACAGGAACTACAATGAATGCACTTAAGTGCAATCCCAGGCAAATTTTGTCAAAAAGAATTTTAGAACAAATCCTCACAGAACTAGTCAATGTCTACTTTTCCACTTCCCCAAATTCCCCAAGAGATGTTCCGTTCAAACAGTGGTAGAGCAAACAGGGTACAGTAAGTTTTTCATTATTTCAACCCATGAAGAGAATGTTGTTTATGTCCTAAAGGACAAGCACGTAAGAAATAGACATGATATTATTTTGGTTTAAGCTATGTTTTAAGAGAAGAATCTTGGGGAGACAAAAAAAAAATCTTGCCTATTTATGAGGATACAATTTTAAGATAAATAATCGTTAAAGGATACTGGGAAAACCAGGGCATTTATAAAGTTTAAATAACTCTTAGTCTCCACCTGCAGAAGATCTGCATACCTATAAAATTTACTTGAAAATATCTAGCACCCTATAGAGAACAACAATTCATCTATATAGATTTATTACAATTTGTATCGAAATTCCAACAGAGTTTTTCATGAAATTTTACAAAAAAAAAAAATTATAATCCTTTACTGAAGAATAACCAGCCAAAAGAAAGTAAGAATTTTTGAAAAGAAGTAAAATGGATGAACACTCTCTGCACAAAATTAAAGATTAATTAAGACGGTGTATTATAGGGTGTTATAATAAAAAAATACAGAGAACAGAAAAGAGAAATCAGGAGCAGACCCATAAATGGACAGAAATCTTATTTATGGTAGAACTTTCATTGTATTTTCATGTGGGAAATTTAGCAGTATATGGTGCTGGGATAATTATCACTAAGTTGAAAAAAAAATTGTTCCCACTTTATATTAAAAACTAAAAGCAATCCACGTAGGTTAAGAAAATCCATGTGGCTTAAAACATAAAAGAGAAGCCATTTAAAAGACAATATAAAATAACATCTTTCTGACACTATTAAATCATAAAAATGATAAATATCATTGTTTTAAAATTAAGTTTTTCATTTCTTCATGTACTCTAAAGTAAGTAAAAGAAAAGTCACTGAAAATTTATTCATAATGTATATACCTTAAAAGGAATTGATTCCAGAGTAAAAAGAGTTTGCTCAAATCAACAATACAGGGCAAACAGCACAATAGAAAAATGGGTAAAACACAAAAATAGGTTATTTAAAGGAAAAAAAACAAATAACTAACAGCCATCATTTGTCAGGAAAATAGAAACTAAAATCTCAACAAAATATCATTTTTGCAGCAAATGGATTGACGATTTTTTTTTAATGTTTGACAACACTACCTATTGGTAAAATAAGAAGCAACTGAACATTCGTATGCTGCTAGTGGAAGTGCACAACTATGTTGATAAACAATTGGCTGTTTCTATAACAATCTAAAGGTATGAATGCATTACAACCCAGAAACTCTTCCATACTCCAGAAGAATGCTTATATTTGTGCACCAGAAATATGTACCAGGAGCGTTGCTCATGATAGAAAAAAAAATTGTAATCCAAATGTTCATCACTAGGAGAATGTGTAAATAAGTTGTGAGGGAGTCATTTATGAATGCCTACAGCGGTAAAATTGAATGAATTACAGCTATAGATGCTATTAGAGTCCAATCAGAAAAGATAATTTATACAGTTTGAACAGTGAAAGTAATTATAAACAATTATTGACTAAAACAGGGAACTAAAAAAGTGTTGGGCAGGAATAAGTAAAGAGAACTCTAAAGAATACAGGAATAGTAGGCATAAGGAGCAGGCAGTATCACTCAGGCTGAGTGTCCATGGAGAGCCCCTCTACACACACAGACACAGACCCCCACACACAGGCATGCACCAGCCTAAAGTGAGAGCCAGATTTTGTTGGACAAGACAGGGCAGGACATAGTCACGGCTCACTAAATGGCAAAAGAGAGGTTGTGCCACTCTGGTAGAACTTGCCAGAAATCTACCCTCCAGTATCCATGGAAAATTTGTTCAGGGGGATGAATCTCATCATAGATGCTCTGATACAAAAGCACCAGAGTGATGAGACTAGGGGAAGCCACTGGCTTCCAGTTGTTGCTGGCTCTGTATGCCATAGGAGTTGTGCACTGGACAGCCTGTATGTATGCAGTGCAGGAGCCTGCTGAGCAAGCTAACAGGAAGGACTTCTCTCTCTTGTGATAACTGGCCAGTGCCCTTTCCTGACCAAGCTTGATGTGACAAAGGGCCTAGGAAAAATATTTAAAGGAGTGATCCATTTTTGTTTACCTCTTGTAACAAAGAAAAGGCCAAAGCAAATCACAGTAAGGTAAGACTTCTGAGTTATTGCTAATGTTATTGCTCTTTAGCTGAAAGGTGGATACATAAAAGATTGTATTTTTTCTTCTGTATACCTTTCATGTGTATAAGAGTATTTTGTGCTTCTATCCAACATTAAATAAAATAATATTAATGGCCCAAATCCAAGATATATTTATAGAAAAAATTCTAAAACCTGAAGTATATATATATTACATATGTTAATATCATTCAAATATTTCAATAGATACTAAAATATAAATACTTAATGATTCATTTTTTGAAGTTAGTATAAACATGATATGAAAATCTGAACAACTTATACATAAGAAACTGATAAAATTACCCAAATCCTTGAATGAATATAGTTACAAACATTCTGCATTATTTAATTATTTGCAGTATACTCCTAGAGTAATGTAATGTGAACAAGTAAATTTTTTTAAAGAATGTTGGAATGTGTCGCATTAGATCTGGCAACAAATTAAAGTAGAAAATATGTAGATATTTAGATATGCTTTACATTTTTATATATTATTAAAATGATTATTAAAAATGTATAAAATATTCTAAATATTTCAAAGATAATATCTAAGACCAAAAAAATCCTAATTATGAAAGTAACAGAAATATTTTAATTAAATTCAAGTAAAAAATTTTAAAAGGATTTTTTCAAAACAATTAATGATCAATAGTTTTTAATGTTATAGCTAATCCTGCTATGTAAGAAAAATCATTATAAATAATTTTAAAAAGATCAATAATCATTATTTTCAGATATTTAATATTTTGCAATTAAAATCTTTAAGATTATTATAATCAATGGAAATCTAGTAAAGTGTCTGAATAAAAGGTAGTATGCAAGATTAAATAGATTTTTATATATCAATAATAATTAGTTTAAATCAGGGATCCTCAAACTACAGCCCGCGGGCCACGTGCAGCCCACCGAGGACATTCATCCAGCCTGCCAGGTGTTTTTGCCACCACTGCCTGTCCTGCTTAGCAGCTGACTCATCCTGGGCCCACAGTCTGCATGTGTGGAATGTGCGCTGCACTCTCCAACGGCCTTCCTACAGTCTTAGGGAACTGGCCCCCTGTTTAAAGAGTTTGAGGATCCCTGGTTTAAATTATAGTAACACAAATAGTCTCAGTAGCATTAGAAACAACTATAGAGTAACAAGGAAGCAATCCAAAGTAAACTAATATGAGACATCAACAAGATGGCAGAATAGGAGGTCCTAAATTCTACCCCCTTCCAACAGAAGCAGTGATGAAGTAGCTATCCGTGAATTAGGATGACTATGTGAGAATTCTGAAACTTCGGGGAAAGGTTACTGCACAACTGTGGTAGAAAAAATAATAAGAAAAAACAAAGCACATTGAAAAGATTACGATGTGCACTTTAACTTTATCCACATCACATTGTCAGAGCTCAGTGCCAAGCAGTCTCTTCAGTTGTAGTTTCTCTCATGGCATATAGACTTGAGATTGAGGTAAATGTCCAATTTCCATAGCATCTCCAGACATGACCTGAGCAGTTCACTTTTGTCTCAACTCATGAAGAACACTGGGGGAATTGCCATGGCTAGACTATCTATGAATAGTAAGAAGAAATAATATAAAGAAGGGCTTTCAGCCACTGGCACACATGAATCTCAGTGGTTAGCTCTTGGTCACCCCCAGCATCCTTGCTGGTCCACCTAACTGCAGAGCCTCTCAAAAATCTTGCTTCAGTATAGAGCTTTCCAAGCTGGCTTCACCTAACTGGGAATCCTGTCAGAAGCCCCACTTCATCTGTCACTGAAGATTCCTATCAGCTGACTTCATCCCAATGTAAAGTTTTGCAAAGAGGTCTGGCCTAATTACAGATGCTGCCAACTGGCCTTCCTCATTTTATGCCAGTCTGTTTGGTGAAGGTCCTCCCCTGCCAAAGCCAGTCTGTAAAGACTAGAAGAGGTGACCAAGTCTTCAAATGTACAAACACCAATACAAAAATCACAAAGAATCAGAGGAATAAATCCACTAAACACAATTAACAAATCTTTGGTAACCGACCCTAAAGAAAGAGATATCTACAAATTGCCTAACAAAGAATTCAAAATAACCCTCTCAAAGCAGCTCAGTGTACTACAAG